ATGCCAGGTACTCCAGAAGGCCCCTGGTCGGTCGGCCATCAACTACGCCCCCGTCAGCACTGCAATTCCATTCTCTAGATGGGGGATTGACCTGGTCGGCCCCCTGCCCAGAGCCGCCGGGAATAACCGCTACATCATCGTCGCCGTCGACTACTTCACCAAGTGGGTCGAGGCGGAACCCTTGGCCAGCATCACGGGGGCCAGATGCCAAAAGTTTGTTTACAAGAACATCATCACACGCTTCGGCGTCCCCCAGGAGATTATATCAGACAACGGCACCCAATTCGAGGCAGCCCCTTTCCAGGAGCTCCTCCGGGAGTTTGGGGTGAGGCACCGTTTCTCCTCCGTTGCCTACCCTCAGGGCAATGGGCAGGTCGAGAACGCCAACAGAACAATCATGGAGGGGCTGAAGAAGAAACTCCAGGCCGCAGGAGGTAATTGGGTCGACGAGCTCCCCAACATCCTGTGGTGCTACAGAACCACGCCGAGGAGGGCGACAGGTGAAACGCCTTTCGCCCTATGCTACGACTTTGAAGCAAAGGCGCCCACGGAAGTTGCCATCCCCAGCCGACGGGTGGAACAATACGAGCCTGACGCCAACGAAGAAAGCATGAAGATTGACCTGCACCTGGTCGATGAGAGGCGTGAGCAAGCTTACAACGTCAGGCTCTCACTTAGGGCGAATAAGCTCTCACTTATCTACTTTTTTAGAGATGAGGAGACATAGGCAGGGTAATACCTTTCGAGGAAAGCTTTCTTCATGGCCGCCCATGTACCTATACTTCCTGAAGGAAGATAGAATAGCCAATCCTTTGCGGTATCCTTTAGAGAAAATGGAAAAGCCCACATTTTGATTTGTTCTTCCGTCACACTGTTTGGACACATGCTTGTGCAAACGATGTGAAACTCCGAGAGGTGTTTGTTCGGATCCTCTCCTCTCAGGCCATGGAAGGATGACAACAGATGAATGAGCCCAGATTTTAGCTCAAACGTATTACCCTCATCAAGTGTAGGGAAGGTAATACACAGTGGTTGTTGATTCAAGTTCGGAGCTATGAGCTCCCTCAGTGTTCTTGTTTCAAGAGCCATGTGGAAGGACTCTTCGGAATCGCTAGAACTCGAGCTAGCGGTGGATGAATCTCTGGTAGATGATTCTTCCGAGTCGGTATTAGAAAATTTACTTTTCAACCGCTCGAAAGTTTGTTCAATTTCGGGGTTTGTTTGATAGGTGATTTCGTTCAGTGAACGATATTTAACCATATACTTCAAAGCTCAGAAATAGAAAAATAAGAACTCTTTATATTTTAGTTTAATATTTTTTTTATATTATCTTGAAATACAATAAAAGAAAACTAATTGCCTTTCCCCGGCAACGACGCCAAATTTGACGTGCACTTGTCGTGAGGTGCACTCAAAATAAATACAATACAACGATTATACGTAGTATAACGAAGTAAGGTTCGTATTCACAGGGAAAAGAATACTTTTCTTTTATATAATGAGTAACAAGGGGGGGGGGGGGGGGGGGGGTTGAGTTTGATTTAATTTAATTTAATTAACACTAAGATGAACGACTTATGTGGTTTAATTAATAGAGACGAGAACTTGGTTTTGCTTTTATCCACTTAATGAAATGTTTGTCGATCCCGGTTATATCTTTAACTATCTTCCTCTCGAATACTCAATCGAGGAGTATATCCAGTTCATCGAGGGTAGTTATTAATAACGAGATGCGTTCAATAATAAAACTTACTATCGAGTTAATATAGAACAAACGCCGTATATTAACTTGATAGTAGCAATAAACTTAAGATGAAAACGATTGAGATTGATAACCTCAACACAAGCGGTTTATTGGTTTAATCAATATAATTAATTCCCCTTGGCATATTAACCATGAGATGCATGCATTAATAATCCAAGTTTACTACCGTTGAAAGAACCGGATTAATAACAAGCGTATTAACCGATTGATTCTAGTAATAATTAATACTCCCTCCGTTTCTGAAACAAGTTCCACCTTTCCTTTTCGGGCAGATTCAAAATTAAGTTCCACTTTCAAACATTTCCTTATTATCTACATCAAAACAGTGTCAAACAGTGTCAAACAGTGTTCAAACAGTGCCAAACAGTGCACTCCACAGTAAAGTCAAATTTATTTTCTTAATATGTGTGAAGTCAAATATGGAACTTGTTTAGGAATCGGAGGGAGTATAAGAACAAAACTAGTTGATACTTTAAGTAATGCTTAAAATATTAATATGGAATATGAATTGGAAAGAATTAATATTCAAGGAAGAAGATTAAAGAAAATAACTCACAACTTACAAATCATTAAGCTTCAAAATAGCAAAACCAAGATGGAAGAGTTTAGCTCCTCATTTGGAGACTAAACATGATGAAAAATATAAAGAAAGAACTATTCTAGACTGAGCTTAGATGTATAAAGGAATTGGATATCTAATTGTGAAGGAAAGGGGGTGTATTTATAGGCTTTTGAGATGCAGCTCGGGTACCCGATCGGGTATATACAAGGTACCTGATCGGGTATGTGTAATACCTCAAATTCGAGGTATACTCGATCGATCATTGCCTAAATTTCATAAGCATACCCGATCGAGTATGCCTTTGTACCCGGTCGAGTATGCTTATAACTTCAGATCCAGGGCATACTCGATCGAATTCAGGCTTGTTTTTGAAGAGATACCCGATCGGGTGTGTTGGTGTACCCGATCAGGTATGGACATTCGATCATGGTCCGAATCTTCGCTGCATGATCCTTTGTCTTCGGATCTGATCCGATTCGAAATTTCAACAAGATACCCGATCGAGTATAGATCATACTCGACCGGGTATAGACCAAAAAAATCAGGATCTTCTTTCTTTTTTATTTTTGCACCTTCCTTCCACTTTTTAGGGTTCACCAACTGTCCTTTGAGTTGATCAAGACCTGTTTGAGCTCAGAACAAACCTAATCTAAACAATTTACAAGAATTTAACAAACTAAACTATTACACCAAAAGTGTGTAATTTCCAAAGTAAAAATCAATCAAAACTAATTAAAAACACAAACATACATATGGAAATTACAAACGTATCAATATGAGTGCAGGGATTTCAAGCGTTGGGGGCAGTGTGAGATGTAGAAGGAACCAAAAGAGCATCGAAAGATCTGGTAGGAGGGAGCATGATCGCCCATTTGTTGTGGTTATTCGGATTTCAAAAGAAGAATTGTCGATCGAAATGATATGATTTCAACCGTTTTGGTGGATTTGAGATGTAGAAAGAACCGAAGAAGGAAGGAAGTTAGAAGTCAAAGATGAGGTGCATAAAATCGGACGGATAAAAATGCGAGGTCGAGTGGGCGGGAATTTTTCTCTAAAGTTGTAGTGCTATTAAGGAGAGGATTTGAGGTGTAGAAAGAACCGAAGAAGGAAGGAAGTTTGAGGCTCTACATGAGGTGCATAAAATCGAATGGATAAAAATGAGAGGGCGGGTGGGTGAGAATTTCTTTCCTAGAGTTATAGTGCTATTAAGGAGAGGATTGTCAAAGCAATAAATGTGGCGCTGATATGGGAAGGTATTAATAAATTAATAACTTAAGTAAGCAGTTGTGGCAAACGGTTCAATCAAAGGATTGTGGGTGTATTTGACATTTAGCGGTTAGCAGAGAACGAATTATATTAGCGGGTTGTCAATAACAGATTGAGAGAGTGAGTTTGACCAGTGGAATAAGTTGGCGGATTGTTAGAAGATGTTTGGTAATTTAACTGTTTGACCATAACAATTATCAGAAAACACCATATTTTAAAACATTATATTTGATGAGAACTAGAGTCTCTATGAGTCTGATTTAGGTACAAAAGTTCATGACGTTATTCACTAGGCGAATTGTGAATCCTTAGTAGCTTAACTTCATATGAATCTATTTAGGAGTTGCGATTCTTTATGCTGACATTTGAAAGAAGTAATGAGTAATCTTGATGGGGATGGAATGATGAATCTTATTTTTGATCATGTGCCCCACTACTACCATTTTGCCCATGTGAACTTGTAACTGACGTGTAATACAATTTTATTCTTTGATTTCTTTGTGATATAATCTTGTGTTGGTTATGATGAAAGCTTCTACGACAAATCTAAATGTTATCGGTTTGGTGCTGTGTTCTAAGTTAAAGTTAGGTAACTATAATCGCTGTCATGTACTTGAAATGTTTATTTATGATCCACACAATCTATAAATTTGAAAATAAGCTATCTAAGCCATTATTTATGCAAGTATATTTGACCTTTACATATTTATGTAATAATACACTGTTCATTACATATATGTGAATATTTTGTTTGGCATTTTTATGCCTAAAGGGGTGACATAATGAAGCCAAGAATTTGAATTTTGGTAGTTGGTTTTATGTTATTAAAGTTTGCTTCATAATCCTTACTAATGTATTCATGTTATAGCAGCTCATTTTACTTCAGTAGTTGGTTAATTCTGAATTTACTACTTTCTTTATTTAATTTATGTAACTTGTCTTCATAATAATAATCCTTTTTAACCAAGGACTATGTATGATACAAAGTATTTTCATACTCGAGCTATATCAGAAATTTACAATATCCGAATGATTTTATTAATTTTTTATGAGGGCAGTAACTAGTAACTGAAAATTTGCCCAAAACCCGAACAAGTTTTATTTTTACCCGCCCAACCTGACCCATGCTCAACCTTACCTGCCCCACACTATCTCAATAATAATGCTCCTTATTATATGGGGTGTCCTTTTACTTTTCGTGAAATTAAAAATGCAAAATTAGGTTCAAGTAGCTATACAAAACCGCCCCTTTCCCATTACCCCGTAAGCGACGACCAAAATGCTCTGTTTTTGTCATTTTACCGACCAGCAGGCTGTATCTTAGCTGTCCATAAACCCATCCTTCTCTTAGCTGTAGTCACAGCCCACTCTCCACCCCCAAACCCTATTTCTTCACTCGTTCCATTACGCGTCTCCCGCCCATCTCTAATCCTCTGCACTCCCGACGTGACTATATAATACCCATTCCTCCTTTTCCACTTCCATCTCACTTCCAACTTTCATTTATCCATTCTCCTCTGCTAATACAACTTTAATTTCCAATGGCTTCGACTAAAGCACTTCTCTTTCAGCTGGCCGTACTCGTTCTCTCGATGGGTCAAATCTCCCTAGCAGCGAGGCAACTCGCCGACTCAAGCCAGGACCAGTCTTTCCCCTTTCTGTACCACAACGGATCCCTGCTCACCGGGAAGGTCGCCGTGAACGTAATTTGGTACGGGAAGTTCACGCCTTCCCAACGCGCCGTCGTTTCTGATTTCGTCGCGTCTCTGTCTTCCTCCGGCCCGCGGAAGCTCGCCGCCGTCCAGCCCTCGGTGGCCACGTGGTGGAAGGCCACCGAGAAGTACTACGGCGCGCTCAAGTCCAAGAAAGGGTCTTCCCTGCTCCTCTCATCGGGGGTTCAGATCCTTGACGAGGATTACTCGCTGGGGAAGTCTCTGAAGAACGGAGATATTCACAAGCTCGCCGCGCAGGGCGGCCAGAAGAACGCGGTCAACGTCGTTTTGACCGCTTCCGATGTCATGGTGGACGGCTTTTGTACGAGCAGGTGCGGGACCCACGGTTCGTCGTTGAGTTCCAAGATTGCCCCTGCCGGAGGGAAGAACTACAAGTTTGCCTACATCTGGGTGGGGAACTCCGAGGCTTCGTGCCCCGGGAAGTGCGCGTGGCCCTTCCACCAGCCCATTTATGGCCCGCAGGCCCAACCCTTGGTGGCGCCCAATAACGATGTGGGCTTGGATGGGATCATCATCAACTTGGCGAGCCTGTTGGCTGGGACCGTTACGAACCCGTTCGGAACCGGATTCTTCCAGGGTCCGGCTGACGCGCCGCTTGAAGCCGCCTCGGCTTGTACCGGGGTTTACGGAAGTGGGGCCTACCCTGGCTACGCCGGCAACCTGTTGGTGGACCCTACCACCGGTGCCAGTTTCAATGCGTTCGGCGTAAATGGCCGGAAGTATTTGCTGCCGTCGTTGTTCGATCCTTCGACCTCAACGTGTTCTACGTTGGTTTAATGTAGTTTTGTCAATTTTCACCCAGAACGTTTGGAAATTATGATCACAAAATATTCTTTGATTCATTTGTTCTTTCTTATTAACGATTCATTTACTCTGACTATAGTACTGTATTAATTAATAAATGGTGTTATATTTCTTCAAAAAAAAAATTGAGCCGTATTATAATGGTGTTATATTTCTTCATTTCCAGACTGCCTTTATTCAGCAACATTGGAATACAGATCTACTATCTTCCTTATCTCATTAATTTCAACATTGGAATATATACATTATTCATGTACTTTACTTTAATTACATTTTTTGAAAAATATTGTTGAATTCGTCTTATTACTAAGTTTTACTCCCTCCGGTTCCTATTAAAGTTCTCACTTTCCTTTTTGGGATGTCCCTTATTTAAGTTCACACTTCCATTGTAGGAAACAAAACAGTGCCAAACAGTGTCCAAACAGTGTCAACAGTGCACTCCACAGTAAAGTCAAATTTATTTTCTTAATCTGTGTGAAGTCAAATTGAGAACTTTAATAGGAACCGGAGGACGTATAATTTAATTTTTATTTTATTTTTACTAATACAGAATTAAATATAATGACAGTCAAAATTGTGTACTCCCAATATAATGACAGAATTAAAAATTTAAATATTGTTGTATTTTTACTAAGTAGTAGGAGTTGATAAAAATTAAAGTTCAAAAACAATTCACCATAGAATACCTAAATTTCTTCAAATTAACAATCAGACATTAACCGTACGTGACAATATGACTAGTGAAAGTGTTGAAAAAATGTTTAGTCGTTGGTCAATTATTTCAACATATACCGATATACTCCCAATTTTTCAAAATGTTGAATCTCCAAATTCGTGTGGTCCAACATGTAGAAGACGTAACCATGGTTTTGAAACTTGGTAATTCTTTCAATTTTTTAAACCAACTGAGCTACACGTTTGAGTTGTATATGCTCCTAAATCATGCGTTTTGTGTGTAATAATCAAAATATATAAGATTAAAGTTTTTCTTTTGCTTAAATTGACCGAAGTTAAAACAGAATGCAATTCCGGTTATTTTACATGTAACTTTTTCTTAATTTTATTTATAAAAAAATATTTTAAATATGATTTTTTTTATAATCTAGAAGATTCAACCTATTCAACCACTTTGGCTAAAATTCATCCATTTCTACATATTGAACCAATTAATCTTACTTTAAAATTTGGTGGAAACTTTTTTTTTGGGTCATCAAATCCTACTAATATATTAAATCAAAATAACGTTCGTCACATGGCTGATAATACAATCAAGGAAAAAAGAGTAAACAAAACGATAAAAAGCCTTATGTCTGACGTACGCCCTCGAACCAGACTGAGAATTTATCACCTCTGTAGAAGCAATAACATTCGTTGATCCTGTAATGGGCATAACTGAGCCAATGACTGGCAAACCAGACTTTTGATCACCTGACCTAAATTTAAGAATTTCTCTGCTAGAAAAAAATAGCACGTCCAAAACAACATGCAATTCAATAGAAAAACACAAACTGAATAAAACGCAATTAAAAAAGAGTTCACCCATCTTCTTCCAAACCCTAGATTTGTTTGCCCTTGGTCAATTTGAGTCAATTACTTTAACAATTTTCGTTTCTCTATTATTGGGTTTGGTCTTGCTAAAGTAGACTCTGAATTTAATGACCATACTTTTATCTTTGTCAAGAAAAAGATTTTGTGAGAAGACTCTATTTTAGTATTGTTTTTTAGCAGTGCTTGTTTTTATTTTATTTCGAGTAATTTGGTTGTCATATTTGGATATTGGAGTACTCTTGATAAGCAATGCTTCGGTTCTGATCGTTTTAACCTTAAAATTATCCATATTGTTTCTAGCGAGTTAAGTTAATTTGTACGATATGACTGTCTTGCATGTTAATATAATTCGTTTATCATTAAAAAATCGCACCGACAATTTCTAGTAATGCCTTAAATAATTTCAAACTCCGATCCGACTTTGTTAATCAACTTAGAGAGTACGAGTATGTTGTTCCTACCATTAATGGTCTTAATCTTAATGAGGATGGATGAAATGTTTTGGCAGAATTTGGATCCTCTCCGATAACTGGAAAGTTCTAGTTGGAGAGAGATAGAAAGAACAAGATTTTAGGTGAGGTATATTGACGAATAAGATAGAGAAAAAGATAGAGAGAGATGGAATGAAAAAAAGAAATGGATGTAAAATGGAGAAGAAAAAATGGAGAGGAGTTCAACCCGGTTTGGCAACGGGAATGAGAAATTCTCTTTGAACTGTGCCTATGATGATTCTTTCATTGATCTTATGTGGTTCTTTCATGGATCCCACGATGTAAGGAATTCCAAAAGTGATTCGACATATGATCTTCATTTGTTGTGTACTTATGCCAAAAAAAACACCAATAGTCGCTTAAATGTTGGTTCTAGTTCCTTAACCATCATGGTCCCTTATCTCAGCTCAGTATACTCCTTTCATTTCTAGTTGACTTCAAACATTGAGAGGCCGTTTTGTCAACCAACTTTTCACCAAACATGTAACTTTTACTTTTGTGCGTTGAATTGTGTAATAAGCAGAAAAAGTAAGATTGGAGTTACTTTTCTGGCTGTTTTGGCTGAAGTTACTGTAGATGATCATTTTAGCTATTTTTACATATAATATTTCCTTTGTTTTATTAATAAAATATATTTTGAAAATATTTTTTTCCTAAATCAGCAGAATCAGCTAATACAGCCACTTCAGCCAGAACTTCATAAATTTCAGCAGGATCAACCAAATCAGACAATTTTCATGCTACCAAACGGGTTCTGAGTAGTTTTGGCGAGAGAGATCATGATCAAACTGAGGCCATGTGATCGCACCCAGTCATCGATGCACCTTCGAGCAATATTCTTGCCATAATCAATCTCATTTCATGGATTAACATAATCAGGCCGACATTTTATGGGCCCAGGACAGTATATATAAAGTAGGTATTAGTGATAACGTGTGAATATTATTATTTTTACTGATAAAAGCTATAAGTAAATTAAACAATTTTGTGATCTAAATACGAATATAACACATCAGAAATTAATAAATGATGATTAGAAAAACTATATTTAAATATTTGATAAGTGACATTCGAGAACACCATGTACTTAAATCGATCAAATGAAAAAGTAGTACAATTTTTACTTGCTATAAAGAATTTTGAATTAGGGAAACATACAAAAGTTATACGATAGTATCTTATAAAGAGAAATGGTTTCATATTTGAAATCACATTTTCACTAGACAAAAACAAACCGCAAAATTTTAAATTCTTTCACTTACATGAGAGAATAAAAGAAAATTAGAAAAATATTATCAATGAATCATGACTTTACACGAGAGAAGTAGATGAAAATATTAACATTTATGCGCTAAATCTTAACAAAAAAATTGTGAAGTTTGTTCCCAATGAATTATGGTCTGGATTTTTAATTTCAAAATTTTAAGCTTGTAGCTTGACATTCATGTAATTTTCATGTTTATGTTTGTGTGGTTAATTAGTTTTGTTGATTGTTACTTTGAAAATTACACACTTTTGGTGTAATAAGTTTAGTTTGTAAAATATTTGAAATTTGTTTAGATTAGGATTATTCTGAGCTCAAATAAGTCCATGATCCGACAAGAGACCATCGGTGAACCCCAAAAGTGGAAGGAAGGTGCAAAAAATGCAAGACAAAAAGAGAAGATTATTGCGATTTTGGGTTGTACCCGGCCGGGTATGACCTATACCCGATCGGGTACCTACTTGTTTTGCAAATCAGATCATATTTGAGAACAAATGAACGTGCATGGGATATTTTGACCATGATCGAGTGTCCATATCCGATCGGGTACCCGACACACCTGGTCGGGTATGACTAACATTTCTAGCTTCCGGGAAGCTTCTGGAGGTACCCGATCGGGTACCCTATATGCCCGATTGGGTACACATCCCTGCATGCTCAATTTTTCCTATAAATACACCTCTACCCTTCACACAAAAATAACCCATTCACATATACTCTAAAGCTCAGGTTAGTTAAGTATTTCCTTTATATTTTTAGCATGTTTAGTCTCCAAATGAGGAGCTAAACTCTTCCGTCTTGGTTTTGCTACTTTGAAGCTTAATGGATCGTATGTCGTGAGTTACTTTTCTTTAATCTTCTTCCTTGAATATTAATTGATTCCTATTCATATTTCATATTAATATTTTGAGCATTACTTAAAGGATCAACTAGTTTTGTTGCATATTGATGTGCCCTTGTCGTGAGGTGCACTCAAAATAAATTCAATACTATCACTAATACGTAGTATAGCGTAGTAGAGTTCGTATCAACAGGGAAATGAATAATTCTCTTTTTATGAAACTTAGTAAATAAAGTGGGGATTTGGATTGAGTGATTTAATTTAATTAAAAACTAAGTGATAGAGTATATATCTAGAGAGAAGTGAGAGCTAGAGAGAGAAGTGCAAGTAAAATGCTTCAATAGAATGATTTTGTAACCCCCATAACTACCTCCAGAGGAAGTATTTATAGGAAAAATACGGGCTGGGCTCCCAAGCCCAAGGCTTGGGAGGCCCGTTTACAACTGGACCACTATTAGGCCGAATACAAAGCAACTGATGGGCTATATAAATGAATAAGTGTAAAACCTAGTCCTGCGAGTCCTCCGTGGCCGACGAGGGCACGGCCGACGAGGACACCCTGGTTCCCTGGCTTCAGGACCATATTCTGAGTTGGTCCCTCTTCGGCCGTCATGGGTCCTTTGGCCGACGAGGGCACTGTGCAGTGGTTTGTTCTTCTGAGTATGTGGGTCCTGGGGCCTAGACCCATATACTCCATCACTAAGATGAACGACTTATATGATATTTAATTCAAAGACAAAAAGGACTTGGCATTGCTACTTTCCACTTGTTGATATATTTTAGTCGATCATTGTTATATCTATAACTTATTCCCTCTCGAATACTCAATCGGGGAGTATATCAACTTCATCGAGGGTAGTTATTAACAACGACCGTTCATTAATAACCCTTACTATTAATCAAATATAGAACAACGCCTTATACCGATTTAATAGTAGCATTTAATCTTTCTAACTCCTTGATGAAATCAATTGAGATTGATAACCTCAACACAACGGTTACGGTTTAACCAACAAAATTAATCCCTCTTAAGTTTATTAACCACGACCGTGCATTAATAAACCGAAGTTACTTACTTGTGAAACCATCAACGATTAACCATCGGTTCGTTGATCGTTTCTAGTAATAATTAATATATGAAACAAAACTACTTGATCCTTTAAGTAATGTTC